AGAAGCCGACGAGGCACCAGCGAGGGCCAAAGTACTACACGGCCAGGCGCCGGCCGCCGTCGCGGGCGCCGAGTCTCCCCTCCAGCGGCTCCGCCGCTGCCGGCGGCGGCGGCGGCGGCGATGGCGGAGCCGCGCTCTCCTCTACCGCCGGCTACTCCTCCTCGGACGACGTTTGGAGCGGCGGCGACAGCAACAAGGACGGCCGCCAGCAGGAGGCGAACGGCGGGGACGACAAGAAGAGGACCAGGCGCAACGAGATCCAGAGGAGGATGTGGGGGAAGCGGCCCTCCTGGACGGGGGCGCTGATCGAGCCCACCGCTGCCGCGGCCACCGCCGCCGCTGCCGCCGCCTCCGTGCCCGGGGCGACGGCGAGGGAAGGGGCGGGGGCGTCGGCGGCGCCCCGGACAGAGTCCGGGCTGAACCACCTCATCGTCCTCGTCCATGGCTTGGGGGGAAGGCCGGCGGACATGGCCTTGATCCGGAGCTACCTGCAGACGCTCATGCCTGGCGCCGAGGTATTTACTGACACACCGTGGCCGGTGTTGTGGGTACAGTAGATGAGGGGTGGGGGGTGCCTACACTACGGCAGTAGCCCCTGGCTTAGTGGAGAGGTGTTTCGAGAAAGGAGCGGCTGTCGTTGGTGTGTGCTTGCTAAAGAAACCGCACTCGCCAGCTGTTTAAGGTTTTAGAAAGCTTCACGAAGCGCTGACTGAAAAAGGCATACCGCATAGATAGGCGGCGTGCGATGGCGATGGCGATTGCGATGGCCCCCTCGAAAACCCGGGCTGTCGGTGTACTCTGCTGAAACCCTCGCGTAGCTCTCCTGTGTACTCATGTTACATCTCTTGTGGATGCGTTACCGTTCAAAGAGGAGGCGACCTTCGCGGAAAGGAAGCGCCTCCTCACCCAACGTCTGTCGTGTCGCAGACGACGACTTGATTCCCTATACATATATATTTCGCTTTCGTCACTCACTTTCGGTCCTTTTCGCCCGTTCTTGTGTTCACGGCCAAACAAACGCCTTTCGGAACAGTTGATGGTGGCCTCCTCGCTCCAGGGCGTGCGGAAGGACAACCTCGGCGTGGAGGCGATGGGAAAGTTGCTCGCGGAAGAGGTTCACAACCACGTCACCAGGTCAGTCAGTCAAGTCAGTCGGTTCCGTTTTCGCTCTGTGGCCGGCGCGCCGCATGCATGCATGCGTGCATCCGTCCACGTTTCCGCTTTTCTTGAATTCGTATGCATACATCACTCCTTTTTACTCACTGAGTCGAAACTCGAACACCGTCTAACCTCCAACGTCTCACACGGTTATTGGCGCCCGTGCTCCATATACGCGCTGGCTGCAACCTAGAACGCTCTCGCCCCCCCACAAAAAAAAAAAATCACGACCCTCCCCCCCCCCTCAGGTTCTGCCCCTACCTGGAGAACGCCTTCGTGCCCGTTCCCGCCCCTGGCGGGCCCACGCCGAACGCGGGGTCCGTGCCCCTCTCGCCGGTTACCCCTATCCGTCCCCGACGCCGACGAGCCGACTCCGCCAACCTGGCGTCGACGGCGGTGTGCGCGCCGCCCGGGTCCGCGGCGGCGGCTCGCACGATCAGCGAGGAGCTCAGGGCCGGGATGGGCACGCCGACGAGGCCTCCGAAGGGGGGGCGGGGTGGGACCGGCGGCGGCGGCGGCGGCGGCGGTGGTGTTCCTCAGAGCAAGGGGATGTTGAGTTTCGTCTGCTTTTCCTTGGGAGGTATGTCTGTGTGTTCGTGCCGAAGGTGGTGTGCGGGGGGGTACATGCATGCATGCATGCATGCCTGGCTTGGACTAGACTAGCCACACTCGCGGACTGTGGGAAATCAAGTTTCTTGACGCCGATTGAGAAAAAAAGGATGATGTGAGGGAGAGAGAGAGACAGACCTGCAGGCAAGCAGACAGATGAACGCATGCACGTATGGCAGACGACAGGCGGGGCCCCGCGAATTCCGTAGCTCTGCGTACCGCTACCGGGTTGTGGCGTCGGGTAGGGGTACGCAGCTCAGTCGCCGTCGTACCATGCCCGCGTGTGATGTGACGTCAACACGATCTGTGCCGGAAACGGCTGGCGGGCGCCCTAGAACGAGAGGAGGGAAACTATCGTAGCACTTTTGAATATGTGCTCTTGTGTGTCCCCGCCCCGGTACGACTGCCTCGGGCATCAAATGTATTATGTATCGCTCCATATTTCGTGCACTCATGCAGAACGACGTTCCCCGTGCATGAGAGCAGCAAGCTGGCGGCTCTGCAAGACCCCCGCCCTCTGCATGTCTGGTTCGGGTAGAACACCAATCTTGCCTCTCTTGTGTATAGTCGTAGTGTCCACCCACGTTTGTCACTGAGCACGCCCGAAGTCCGACACGAACTAGAAAGGAGGGAGGGAAACAGGGTCACGGGCTTTTTTAAGCCTCAGGAGAGCTTGTTCCGGCGACCCCCGACCATGTGATCGGGTCGTGCACGGACCCCCCCCGGTCCCCCGGTCCCCCTGGATTTCGAAAGCTAAAACGTACGCAGTGGTTGGTAATCACCCTCCTCCCCGCCCCCTCGTTTTTGCCGCAGGGTTGGTGGCTCGGAGCGCGCTGCTGGAGCCGGCGATGGTCCCTTACCTCACGAGCATGCAGTGCTTCGTTACGCTCGCGTGTCCGCACTTGGGGCAAACGTCGACGCCCCTCTCCTTCTTCAAGACCGGGGCTTGGGCAGTGCGAAAGGTGCGCAGCGTGCCAACGTCGTTTCTCTGGTTTGTTACATAGCGTCAACCGCACTCGTGAGTAGACTGACCCATGAAAGTTTCGTCCCTTTTCGGAGCGAAGAAAAAATCGGTACACGCTACGTAGGGAGGAAATGCAGCTATATATTGCACAGGGGCATCATTTTGTTGTGACCCCTTGTCAAGAGGTCGACTTACTTGCAGCCTTGATTCCTTCGGAAGTACGACTGACCCATACGCGTCGCACACCTAGGCTGTTTTGTCTAGCCTGTTTACCTACTAGCCTGTCTCCCTCTTGGTCTTAAGCTTCTCCCGGCCCGTGGCAGCCTGACCTCGAGAAAACAACGCTGAGCCCGAAATTTGGCTGTCGATCCGTCAATGCTACTACAGTTGGGGTCACTAAATACGACCTGTCGACGGTTAATTACATGGTACCACCGGTAGAGCCGGTCAACCCGCGTGACCGGATGGAATATTGAATGGTCTCATTGTCTGAATAGTTCGGGTGCCCGGTATGCGGCGTTTGGAGAAAAGCCTCAATTGTAAAGAAGAAATAAATGTGAAAATAGTACGGGCTATTATTATCCTTCAAGTCGAGATTGGAAGGGAAGGAGGTGTTTTGGAAGGGTGTCTTCACCAGCCGCGGGGAGTGAGGGCACTGTCTCGTCCCACACTGTGTTAACGGTAATGTTAACCGTCGCGAAGATACTGATGTATTATGAGGAACGCGTCTGGGAATGTTGTAAACAATTCGCAGAACCGTGCACCGTCGAAAGGACAGATATCAGACAAATTTCACTATCACTTGGTGTTTTGTGCGACCGAGTGCCGACACGGAAAAAATGAGGCAAGAAGGAGAATAGTGGAAAGCACCGCCCACGCTCCCCACAAAAGCATGTTCTTCAAATAACGACGAGTAAAGCAGAGTCGACACGTGTTGTGCAAAATGAAGCACTCAACCCGAAACACTCATCGACGCTTGCAAATGCCGGCAGATCTGGCGGGCACCTACCGGCCGGCTTGAGACCTCCACTGCTGTACACAACACGCGCCCTGACCTCCACACTAAATCCTACGCTGTCTGCTGTCTGCTGTCTGTTGTTTGGGTATTTCGTGGTGTGTTTGGCTTTGGCCTTTGGCGAGAGCAGCTGACGGGGCTCCAAGTGTTGCACGAGCTGGACCTCGACGATGCTGACGACCCTCGGGAGACAGCCCTATATCGACTCAGCCTGTCCCCGGGCCTGGAAAGGTTCAGGTGGGTTGGGTCAGGGGGGGGGCGGGTTGGTGTCAATCTCCTTGTATGGTTTGCCGTGTTGGTGTCGATCTCGTTGCATGGTTTGTCGCTGCCTCTTCCATCTGTACTTGGTCGTGTGTTTCTTGCGGCTTGTAGGAGATGAATGGTTCAGAGAGGTTGGTTATCTGTGCTCGTTGGTTCGCCGATGAGCTGCTGTAGTCGTTTTTTTGCTGATTTGGTCGCGCCATAGACCGGTCCGTACATGTGATTGTGCCAATGCCTGTGAGTAGAGAACTATTTGGCTATACTTTTGACGAAACCAGGTCAGACCTCCCTGCGATTGACGCAGTTCACCAGACGATGTTGCCATTCGCCTGCCGCACCACCCGCCCTCCCCTCCCTCAAAAGCCGTGGTACGCATGTCCGCGCTCCCTCTTCTGTTTATTCTTTTTGCCGCAATAAACCCTGCATCGCTTCCCTTCTGTTCCTTCCTTTCCCGCTTTTCGCCGCAACAACGCCACAACAGTAAGAATAAAAAAAAAAAAAAACACACACACGTACAAAAATAAAAAACACACGCCATCACCATACTCTGATCTTCCTTTCTCGCTTTTCGCCGCAACATAAAAAACAATACTGGTACGGAACACTGAATCCCTTCTGTTCCCTCCATTCCCTGCGTTTTGCCGCAACAACTTTATCCGCAACACTAAACCCTTCTGTTCCTTCCTTTCCCGCGTTTCGCCGCACTTCCCCGCGACCCCCCCCCCCCCCAAAAAAAAAAGGACGATCGTGTTTGCCGCAAACCCGAGGGACGGTTTCGTGCCGCTCCACTCGGCCTCCGTCCGCACGCCCCCCGAAGGCGACGCCGGGGGCAGCAGCGCCGGACACACCTCGGCCGTCTCGGCGGAGATGGCGGAGATGCTCATGTCCAAGGTGAGCGAGAGCGCCAACAGGGTGGTGAGGATGACGCTGGACGCTCCCCGCAACCGGCAGTCGCAAGGCGCGCTGGACACGGTGATCGGGCGGGCGGGGCACATGTGCTTCATCGAGTCCTCGCAGGTGGCGTGGCTCGTGTCGCTGGCGCTGCTGCCTTTCCTGGAGGAGAGCGCCGATCGTTCGGCGGCGAGGTAGACGCACTACTCGTGATTTATCGTCTTACGACGTTGGACACAAGGTAGACGCACTACTACCGTGATTTAGCGTCGTATGACGTTAGACCCGCCCCCCCCCCCCTCCCCCCGCCGGACCGTGTATATGTCCGACCTCGAGATTTTCCAGAGCTTAGAGAAGGGTTCCAATCAGTCGGTGTGAAAGAACCGGCGGCGCTTGGGGGTGGGGGGGGGCGAGCTGTTGCGCGGCGGTTGAGTGTCTTACAAAGACGTGTTTGTAGGTCAGTCTTGGTCGCGTCATTTTCGCCGGAAAATGTCGTGAAGAGCGTCCCGGGGAGTGCCGGTTCGGGGAGTGCCGGTTCGGCGGTGCCGTGACGTCATCGTCGTCGTTGTTGTTGCAAAAGCAAGGTGATCAATAAATGGTTGTGTTGGTTGTGTTGCCGTCCGTGTGTATGTTCCCAGCGGGTGTTTGTTTGGGTCGGTGTTTTTGTCTCGAGAAGTTGTGGTGGGAGGGAGGAGAGGAGTCAAGTCAGTCAGTCATGCTCTTCGCCTTTTTTGTCGGTGTGTGTGTATTTTAGTCTATTCATGCGACATCCTTGTTCGTGCTACGCTTTACGGGGGAAGGCGGGCGTGCGCACACGCGCGAGCGAGCGCGGTTGGTCTGTGTTGCTGTAACATTTTTTGCCTGTCATCACGAAAATGAGGTGCGGGAGGATTAGCGTGCGTTATTATCGCGTGGAAGAGATGCGAAGGCGTTGTTTTCAGTACGGAGGCCTGTTTTGCGTTTCCTCTATATTCCCCCCCACCTAGGGCTAGCGTTGTGTTGCTCATTTAGTTTTTTTGTTTCGATTTTCCTCCTGACGTAGCAGCAGCACCCAACCAGCCGAGAGCAAACTCTGGATGTGCGTTTAGAAATCCATGGCCGGGGGATATACAAAAACGACGTTATCTGCCACTGGCTGGCGCTAACTTGTGTTAAGGGCGTTAGGAGTTGTGTACAGAGCTCGAGAGGCCGCTTTTTCACGATAAACGTGGACGGGGAGGCAGGCAAGGACAACAACGCCAGAAAGAGAGCGAGAGGGAGAGAAGAGAGAGAGAGAGAGAGATGCAGGGAGGTGCGAGGGAGAAGGGGTGGACATCCGTTCATTGTTCGATAAATGTTGTTGTTATTGTTGTGGTGATGGAGACCGTAGGCGCGGGTCGTGCAGGAGCTTTACCCGCTGCTGCGCAGGGTGAGCTTGGACACGCGCGGTGGTTCGGTGGTGGAGATTAGATTTTATGGGCGTAATTAAGTGACCCTCGCCCCTTACTGCTGTGAAAAATCCCTTCCTAGTATTCGCTCGAACATCCTCTGGTGCTGTTGCACGTACTTGATTTGTAGGAAATCGCCGATTTTTTTTTTTAATTCGGGCCTACATGTTTGTAGGAGGAATTTTATCTGTTTACTGAGAGCTAACCGCTTCGATCCATGCCTTGTACGTGTCCTCCCAAAATTCGATTTTTCTTGTTGCATGGATGCATTTTTCCATCCTTTGGGGCACGCATTTGGCGCGCGGGGGGTGTGCGTGTGTTCATTATTACTAGCGTCCCGTCAACGGTGCCAGCTTGATGCTTTGTTAGTTGTTGAGGACGGATATATCTGTATGGGGCGTCGGGAAAGGTCTCCTCTGATGTATGGTGTTGAGGGGGGGAGGGGGGAGTGGATGGGGAAGAGGTCGGTCGTGTACGTGATTTTTTCCGCGCGCGCAGGTTTTTTGGGGAGCGCGAAGTTAGCACTACCGCTCACAAATGTTACGATGAGTGGCGATTTATTAACAAGATACCGGTCAGGTGGTGGGCCAAGAGGTATATTAACACTGCCTCGTGGGGCTTCAAAGGTAGAGAAGAGCGGGTAACTGCTGTTTACGTTTCGGTGTTTGTTTTATTTCACGCCAGTGGATTCAATGCAGGAGGAGGGGGGGGAGGTAGAGATCCTGCGCTGCGGGTCCGTACTATAATAGGCGCCGAGGGAGGTTTCGTTAGTAAGAGGGTGGTTCCTGATAATCAATTACGTAAGCACATGTTCCCACCCCAAAATTTGTATTGCCGTCCTACAGAGCAAAGTGTACCCACGAGTGTAACGGCCACGTGAGTCGGTGTCGCTGCAACTTTTTCGCACTCCCCCGCCCCCCGGCCCCGCCCCCGTCCCCCAAGAATGACTCGAGTGTGAATCGATTCGTTCAATTGGGTTCGTTTGTCCATCCATCGCGACCGCCCTCTGTATGTTTTGTAGGCCTTTTGTCGGATTTTTTGCCTATTTTTGGTTCATTCGTACAGTGTTTTTGTGTGCCTACATTTCTTTTCGTGTGGCCGTAACAAGGTTGTACAAGAAGAGGTATATGCCGGCGCATACCTTTCTGTGTCGATTCTAATGTCGACCCCCCCGGTGTTTGCCATCGGGGTTTGGGTTTTCGTCGCTTGGCAACGACGTTGTAAAACAAGCCCCCCACTCGGTGTTTGCCATCGGGATTGGGTTTTCGTCGCTTGGCAACGACGTCGTAAAACAAGCCAATTCACTTCGTGAACTCGGCAACCACCCCTTCCCATTTCCAAAGACGTTCGAGGCATTGTGGCGCCCCTTCTCCTGCTTGTCGTCCTCCTGGTTTGTTGTGTCTTGCGCACGCTGGCGCGGACGCACGCTTCCGTGTGATCCGACCCATGTTCCAGGCAAAGCGTGACACATTTTATTCTGCTCCGGGTGGGCAGGTTTAACATATCTCGCCTACAGCAAGGTCTGGGGTGTGGGGTGGAGGTCGGCGTGCGCTTTTTGTTTTGTTTTTGGCGTTGCGACACGCAAGTGTTAAGAGAGCACTGACTGACTGGTATAGTCGTTAGTCCCCGAAAAAAACAAATTAATGAATAACATGTCCCACCTTCATTCGAGTTTGTGTTCGCTGCATGAATTTTAATTCACGTTTTTATCTGGCCTTCTTCGAGCACCCACCGTGCGATGTTTGTCCCTCGCAATCTGTTGTCGATACGGCCCCGATCACACGAGAAATTCCATTGGCTCGAGGGGGGACCGTCAAAGGCGTCCAATCAACGTTCGGACCTCATCGAGGGTAACCTCGAGTTGGGGATTTCGCCACCCACGCTGAAACGCCACGGGCGCGAGATCTCAGCACGCCCGCCCGCCCTCAAGAAGTAGTTGTGTCGTCTGCGATGAAGTCACCAGAGCTACGTGTAGTCTGGGACGTCGTTGTGGTGGTGCTGCTGTGCCCAACAGAGGGTCAACGAGTTGTGCGGCATAGGGAGGGTAGCCACAAACCAACGGCGGACTGCAGCCCTTGTCGGCGGATACATACGATGAAACTGCTTCAAACATCGCTCGAATAAGACGGAAAGCACACCAGAACCACCAGGAGAGCTAAGTGTATGCGTACATCTTAGCCCCAAAGGGCAAGTTCAGACCCCCCCCCCCCCCTATTCATCATCTGGCGACTCCCCTCCCGCGGGCCTGCCATGCGTGGCACGCAGTATGCTTAGCACACACGTAACCTGAACGAGGTTTCACAGTGGAAAAGAAAACGGCCCAAGCTTGTAATATTTGTACACCGCAAAAATCTCGTACAACCGTCCACACACCATGGACACAACGGCCGGTGTTTGTTTGTCGAAAGAGCACGACACAAAAAACCAAATGCACGCGTCGGGACCGAACATTCCTGCAAACCCAACAAAGGCCACCAACCGCTGATAATGTCCCCCCTCCTTCCCCTCTCGAACGAAAAGACGAACACTCGTGCATGCATGGATCTCCCTGCTGCGCGGTGTGGTACCTGCATACTTATCATCGACGTTCACGTCGACTTTCAAGGAGAGTGCATGCACACACAATACATGTAGCGATGATGGGTGTGGGCAGCAAAAGGGGGCGAAACAAGACCAGCGTGAGATGGAGTCGCTTGCTTGTAGTCTAAGCACGCTTTGTTTCTTTCTCTGCGTTCGGACGCCGAAAACAATAGAGACGGCGACTAAGAACTGGAAGAACCACATCGTACTGAAAAGATGGCGATACCCGGTCCACAGAAGGAAGCCGCATCCATCCACTCTTCTCAAAGACAGATAGAAACCAACAGACACCGGTTGGTCAATCAAAAACGTCGCAACGTTTGTGCTTTATTCAATAATCAATGCACCGTAGTACTACTTCAAGAAGTGCCGCCGGATGGTGGGTTCAATTCTTGCTCTCGGCGCCGCCCCCCGCTCCGTCGTTGATCTGGCTGACGACCCACTCCATCCCCTCTTGGAGCCCCTCCCCGGTCTTGGCCGACGCCGCCTGGATGAACCACGTGCGGTCCCTGATGGTGTGGAGGTTCAGCCCCTGGGAGATCTGCAAAAATAAAGAGCAGAGGAGAAAGAAGATAGCAGCAGCAGAGTACGTAGTATGTTGTTGTCGTTGTTGTTGTCGTTGTTGTTGTTGTTGTTGTTGTTTGTCGTTGTTGTAACACGTTCTTCAGGTCATACACAGCATGAAGAGAGCCGAGACACTGAAAAAGCCATGGAACCGCGCGTCTTTGACGACCCGTAAACCTGCAATCTTGCCCGCGTGTCGGGGAGATTCACTGTCCAAAGCGGCGGATTGTTTTGTCAGGCGACAGGCAAGCCACAACGAGAAGACGTTAGAATAACACCGTTTGATAGAGCGTCCTGTTTCCAAAGTTGAATAGCCGTGTCGAGAGGCACGTCATTTCGTGGAATCTAACGACGCCCCACACAAGTGTCAAGTCCTTCCTATCCTCCCTCCCGTCTCCCCTGCCCCTCCCCTCCCCTCCCTCTCACCCATTTCGATGCCAACAACGACGAAGAACAACGCCCTTTATCTTGTTTTGTATGGAGTTTAATTTAGGGATTAATTTTCGAGACACCCGTTTTTATAGTCGAAGTTCCTCAGCCGTCAAAGTTGCGGAGAAAGCGACAAGGGTTTACGTAGTGAGAGATAGTCGCTTGTTAAACAAACAACGACTAGCACGGTACGGCGTCGTGATAGAGAAGAAGGAGTTGCACCGCAACCTGTGTCCATCTGGTTCAGTGCGTGACTGAGTCTTTGCTCCATGGCGTTCATCCAAGGCGACAATAAACCTTAAACAATGATGAGCAAAAAGAATTGCAGCAACAACCACCACGTGTGGTCAGTATACATGCAGTAGAGTGCCCCACAGTCCCTGGAAGGACAGACTAGTAGAGAAGGAAATCGCACTACTACAACACGGAGCATAGCCGAGGCTCAGCAAAAAAGACAGGAATATTTCCCGGCATGAAGTCTTCATCGCAGAGAGAGATACACCGCACACACCGTAAAGTCTGATTCATTGTAAGTGTCGCTACAACATGCCTTCTTCTCTTCTTGCATGGACGTGTAGACTATATCATCGCCCTGAAACTTTGCACTAACCTCATCCGAAGAAAGGGCGCTAAGGAGGTCTTGCTTGTTGGCGAAAATGAGCACCGGGATGCCGGCAAGCTTTTCCTCCTCGAGCAGCTGCCCCAACTCCACTCCCGTCTGTTTTGCACATTGCCAGCGATTGTTGCATGGGCGTTCACCCACCACGACAAGAAGAAATAACACCTCGGTTAGTGTAAGGGTGCCCCCGCGTGTAGTAAGTGGTATGTTGTTGTTGTTGTTGTTGTTGTTGTTGTTGTTGTTAATGTTGTTTTCGTTGTTGTTATTACCATTGCGCGTTCGGTTGTTGTTCAGGAATCAATTCCAAAATATCGCCATCCCCTTGGTCGAGCATTCGCCTGAGCGCAGGCAACACTCCCGTCAAAGGCGACGCACAATGGTGTGGCGAAACGCGGGAAAAAGGCATGGCGTTGGGATACGCTGCTGCCTCGCCCTAGCCCCCCCCCCCATGTAGAACCACAGGCATGGGCTATGGTCGGGCGAGCGAGGACACCAGGGATTCTCAAAACCGTTGACTAACTCACGGTTTACTCCAAGCACGCAAGAGCGAATCACGCGGCAGGTGAAACCGCACGCTTAAGGTAACTTCGTCAAACGCGTGTGTTAGATACAAATTCTTCGCACCAAGATACCAAGATCTTGCGTCCACTCACAGCAGTTTGGGGGGAAATGAGCAAAAAGCAAGAGCGTGTTTGGTTCGAAGGACTGCGTCCTCCGTGATACTGTAATTGCATGATAACGGGGTCCTTCTTGATTGTCATCGCGCGTTGGTTTGGTCGAACGACGTGATTCGGGCGGGATATGTCACCTCGTCCATGCGTCGCCTGTCAGCGCTGTCGATAACGTAGATAAGCGCGTCGGTCTGGTCGAAGTAGTTGCGCCAGTACGGCCGAATGGACTTCTGCCCTCCGATATCCCAAACGTTTAGCTTGAAGTCCTCATGCATCAAGCTCTTGATGTTGAAGCCCTGGGTGGAGAGAGTGGAGGGCGACGGACATGCGTAGAAGAATTGGTTTGGGCTAACAGGAGAAGAAAGAGTTGCCGTCATGTACGAGGGATTTCTAATGCCGTGCACGATGAGGACACGCTTCCTGGGCTTTTGACGTATACGAATATGTTTCCCAGGAGCATGTGCAAACTAGCAAACGGCAAGAGACAGCAAACGATGATGATGTGACCACTATCAAGCGATGCTGTACCAAATGTGTGATTTCTAAGGTGCATGGCTCGAACGTTGATCAATTGTTCCGTAGTTGTCTCGTTCTCTTGGTTAGATCGACTCAATGTCGGCGTTGGACTACATGGCGAAGACTAGAGATTAGGTTGGCTCATCTCGCTATTGCAATCAATGGGTGCATTTTTCAGGACCGCAAGCTCGCCATTTGTGCACTCGGTTGGGCAGTTCCAGTTTCCCGGACGTCGAACACACAATCGCACAAAGAATACCTGCGAGCTTTCTGCCCGGCGGTGTCTTCAACTTTCATGGACAGGGGAGCTCAACATGTAGTCTTAGAGGGATAGACTACTACGGTACTGCTGTAGACAGCTGTAGACAGCTGTAGACCAGACCAGAGAAAGGTCCTTCTTCGTTGGTCGTGCTACCCTACTAGACTAGACTACTGCTGTACTGAATTCACATCACTACTTGGTGCGAGACGGCAAAACGATTCGTGCCTTTACAGCAGTAGCGAATCGGGCCATCAACGTACAAAACGCCACGCTACATAGAGCGTACGGTGCACAGCAGCAGCATCCAATTCGGAAGATATATGGCCCGATCAAAACATGCGCGTTCCCGCGTAAAGAAACACAGCAGTACAACGTACACCCGTTTCGGGTGGTATGTATTCGCCTCAAACACGCTGGATCAAGAGCTAAAGCCTTGAGTTGAACAACCGAAGCTCACACACACGATTCTCAAACTATACACTGTCCGCCACACGCAGAAGAAGACTGCTGGTGTAGCCTAGTACCTGCGTGGGCATGATGTGTGTGATGTCCTCCTCCGAGAGCTTCTTGAGGATCGTGGTCTTGCCCGCGTTGTCCAAACCGAGCACCAAGATACGGGCCTCCTGGTCACTTCTCTTGAGCTTGCGCAGCAACGTCAAAAGCCCCATCCTTCTTCTCGGCTGTCCCACGAGGGTTGATTCCCCCTCCCTCTACGAGCCAGAGAATGCTACGGACAGGTGTGTTGAGAGGAGCTCGGATCCGGCGTGGCGCTGTCTATTCCCGTGGATCCAAGGACGGACGGGTTGTTGTGTCGGGGATACGCTGCTGCCCCAGGTTTTACTCCCAGTTGCAAACGAAGTACGTGATGAGCGAAGGATTCCTTCGCTAACGCGTTTATTGGGAACACGGCAGCCCTCAGTTATCTATCCCTTCCGCCTTCCGCTCGGCAAGGTGTTGTCCGAAAGAGCTGTGTGCCTGGTGGGCCACATCAACACACAGCCGTTTCGTTTCATTCAGGGGCACCGGCATGGGATCGGGAAAATACACCCCCCGTCCTATTCCACTCATGTGACCCCCGCCGCTGGCAACGCAGGCAACGTAGCATGGTAGTTGACAGCAGTAGCTCCCAGACGGGGGCCGTCTTGTGTCCAATCTGACCTCTACCCCAAGGGTATCGTCCTCCCGCCGCACCACCGTACCCTCTCTCCCCGGCCTTGCTCGTGGGCGCTCTGCGCGCGAAGGATGCCTCCCAAGGCAAAGGCGAAACCGAAGAAACGAAAGCCGCCGAGACCGGCGCGCCAGCAACATCATCCGGGTCCCCCCCACGGCGACTTCGACGACGCCGGCCTTCCTCCTCCTCCTTTTCACCGCCGCCGGCAACAGCAGCAGCGGGAGATACAGATGGACGACGGTTGGCGTCCAAGCGGGGATGACGGCTGGCATCCAAGCGGGGCCATAATGGTGGGCCCACTCACCCCTTCGATGCCAGACCACCACGGCCCGAGCGGACAGCCCATGTGGGACGGTCCTCCTGCCGACGACTTCGGGTTACCTCACCACGGGATGATGATGATGGGCGGCGATGTCCGTGGTGTTGGAGACTTTGGCCGAGACTTTGACGATGCCGAGCCGCCGCCGGGGTTCATCCCGTTCGATTTACGAGCAATGGACGGAGGTGACGGTGAGCCAGGTTACGGCGAGCCGGGTTTCGGTGAGCAGGGTTACGGTGAGCAGGGTTACGGTGAGCCAGGGGCAGGTGATTTCCACGATGATGATGATCCGCACGCCTTCCACCAACAGCAGCACCACCCCCATTACCGACCACCGCCATCAGGAGGCACGGCAGCGTTTCACGGCGGCGATAGCACAGGCACGTTGCGACTAAACACACCGGAGTTCTTAACTGTGCCCGCTGGGCCGGACGGTCGTTTTTCCAAGAAGCAGCGGAAGCTACAGAGGCGGCAACTAAAGCAGCTGCAGCTGCAGCAGCGGCAGCGGCAGCAACATCAACACCAGCACCACCCGCAAGAGATGGGCCACCACCAGCAGCAGCAGCAGCACTTCCAGCAGCCTCCGTGGGACCACCCGCAGCAGCAGCAGCAGCACCATCACCACCAGCACGACCAGCATGAGCCCTTCATACCATCGATACACGGGACGCGCGAGCAAAGGCTCCAAAACTTTGTGCCCGCCACCGCCTCCGCCACCGCGGGGTTTCTTACGGGGAGGAGGGCGAACGTCGACGGCGCCGGGGCCGGCTTCCTCGGGGACGATGCCTTTGGGCCTCTCTCTTCTTCCCCCCCCCAGATGGCTGCTGGCCCGATCTCCCCGGAGTACTTCCCCCCTCCCACCGACGGCAAAGGCAGGGGCGGCGGCCGCGGCGGCGGTGGACGCGGCGGCGGCGGTGGCAGCGGCGGCCATGACGACTTCCTGACGCAAGACCCGCCGCCGCGCGAGGAGGAAGAGGAGACCGCTGAAAGCAAGAGGGAAAGCAGGCTTGAGTTCTTGAGGGACTTCGACGCGGAGCGCGCGAGGGCAATGGGGCAGAATAACGCCGCCGCCACGGCGGTTAGCGGAAACCCGCGGAAGAGGAAGCGCGCGGGGATAGGTTACGTCAAGGGCATCAACGGCAATCAAAAACGCGACAACAGCAGCAGTAGGGAAAAGAGCAGCAGGAGGGACAACAGTAATCCGGCCTGGCGTGGGACGGCGCCCCGAGTGGAGTCTACCGCGGGTCACGACGGACAATCCAGTGTTTGGTACGATGAGCAGGATGAACCGGAGCCTGGAGCGGGAGGGACCGGCGGCGCCGGTGAGGACTCACGAGACGAGCCGGAAGGGCGGGAGGAGCCTGCCTGGAGTAGCAGCGCCGCCGCCGCCGCGGACAACGGGGAGGACTTCGGGCGAGAGCTGCTGGGAAGCATTGAGAGAGAGAGGCTGCCACCCGCGGGTAGACAGGGGCAGTTCGACGAGATCGAGGAGGGGGCGGGCGACCAACGTTTTGTCATCGCTAACGGGGAGGACTTCGGGCGAGAGCTGCTGGGAAGGATTGACAGAGAGAGGCGGCTACCACCAGGCAGACAGGAGCAGTTCGACGAGATCGGAGAGGGGGCGGGCGACCAGCGTTTTGCCACTGTTGGCGAGCCCACCGTGCAGTTGCCGCTCGGTGCGGTGCCATCGGCGGCGCCGCAGCTTAGCTTTGGGCCACCTCTTCCCCCCGCGCTGTCCTACCAACACCCACCGGTAGAGCTACCACCGCCGCAGATGATATTGGTGAACGGGGGGCAGCACCTACCCTCGGACGGCCCTTGGAACCAGCAGCAGCAACAGCAGCAGCTAACGCCCCATCCTCCTCGTCCGCAGGGGCAAACCATTTCCTGGGCCCAAGCGCCAGCGGAATCGAGCACTGCTGCGGAAGCGCCACCGCCACCACAAGGCGCCCCTGCTGGCGATCCTGGAGTGCCGGATCAGGCGACACAACCCCAGCCACAGCAGTTCGTTTCGGCAACCATCGAGGGCCCCACCATTGAGGAACGGCGTGCGGCGTCGGAGGCGCTTTGGCGACAGGTGGCACCCCCGTTAGCGGGCGGAGAGCAGCCGCCCACGGGGGCATCCTCGACGGTGGACACGGGGGCGGGGGGGGGCGCGCCGGTGGATGATGCTCCCGCGAGTCCGGGCCCGCAGCAGCCGCCGCCGCCGCCGCGGGGAACACCGCCCCCGGCAGCCTCGCCAGCACCACAAGTAGACGGGCCCATCGCCGGCGTTGCCGCCGCTGCGCCGGCGGTAGCGCACGACAGCAATCCCGCCCCAAGCATTCCTCTCGAACCCAGCTCCTCACGCCGGAGCTCACCCGCTATCTCTGCCGCCGCCGATGACCCTCCTCTGCCCGAGACTCGCTCAAATGGCGGGGCTAGCGCCGCTGACCCTCCTGCTGACCAGCAGGCGGCGGCCGTGGCGTCTCTACAGAAGCAACGGTCGGCGCTTCGGAACTGGCGGTCGGCCCCGTATAACTACGCTCTGGTCCTCGTTGGCGCGGCGTTGTTGCCGCGCAAGGCCTTGGCGGGAGCTTCGAAGCTGCCCGGAGCGGTTTGGGTGGACAGGCACGAGCTGGGGGAGCCTTACAGCTTGCCGCTGGAAGTAAAGTCGGTGCTGGCCAAGTCTCTGGCGGCCCAGACGCCGACCTGCGCGTCCTGCGACGACAACGAGGCCGGTCGTGGTGAGACTCAAGTTGTTGGGTTTTTTTGCGCAGAGAAGTCGTAAGTGAGCTTCGTGAGTTGGCTTTCATTTGTTGGCGCTGCTGCTTTTTGGTAACGCATTGCAGCTTGTGCGCACGGCACTACGTGCTAGATGTCAAAGCCCCCCAAGCAGGTTCTGCCGTTGCCATGTTGATACCGTCGTTACGAAGCACCGTACATCGTATTGCTTTTGGGAGCACGGCGAAATAGACCAATGCACAAACATTAAATAGGTTGGTCGAGCTGATGTTGCAACCGCAGGCCTGGCTCTTCCGCTGCCATTCGCTCCAAGTATTGGACCTGAAAACCAAAACACAAGACAAAAAAAAAACAGCAGTACCGTGTCCATCGTGTTGCATATCCTCGTTTATTCCCTCTGTTATGGGCACACCCTACTCCAATCTCTCCATAAGCCTCTGCTCTATTAACAGTGTAACGACGCGTCGAGATGATGGGTCCACACGTAAGGATGCGTTTCCCCGAAAGCCTCATTTTCGCACCAGGTGCTCGCCTTTCCGTGTTTTCGAGACGTGGGCTCGTTCAGCGACCCACGTTTCCCTCTCCGACGATGACGGCGGCACTGAATTTGCACCAACACCGCCGCAAAGTGCATATATTGCGCTCTTTTGTACGCAGTGTCAGCCACCACAACGGAAGCCCTGAGAGTTTTGCCAGATCCCGTTGGCGGGAGCCGATGGAAATGTGCCACAATGCCTCCCTCCAGAAGTCTCCTGTGTGCTTCTATTTTACTTGTTAGTTTTATGCTCTGCGGGCCCGATCCCCTTTTTTCGCTCCTCTACGTGCCCTTTGGCAGACTTCCTGCTGCTGATGACCTTCGAATGTTCCGAAGACAAGGCGGTGGCCGTGGCCCGCCTCGCCGAGCTGGGGGTGGAGACGTCAAAGTTCAATAACTCGCCGCGCATCCAGGTGGAGCACGCCCGAGCATCGCCCACTCCTCCCCCCCCGCCTCCTCGATCGGCGCCGGCCGTCTCGGAATGGTCCTCATCTTCTGCTCCGGCGGAAGCGATGGTTGGTTCGGCAAAGTCTGGTGTGGCCGCTACCGGCAGCAGCGAGCCCCCGCCCAAGGCCCCAGCAGCAGCAGCCGCTGCTGCCTCTTCCAGCCGGGTGATGCTGGCGAGGGAGAAGGCGCTCAAGGCGCTCGAGGGAGAGAGGCTGATCGCAGCGGCAGCGACGAAGGCACGCGCGGCGGGGGCTGCTGCTGTCGGGGAGTCGGCGGCGGTAGTCGGCGGGGAGCCGGCAGGGTCGAAGTCCACGGGCGTAGGAGCGAAGAGAGCAGCCGCCACGACGAAGACAGCAGCGTCGGGGGCGCCACGGAAGGCGGCGGCTGCTGATGGAGCGAGTAAAAAGTCCAAGTCAGGGAGCAGCGTCGGGGGCGCGGCAGCGTCAGGAAAATCTCGTGGTCAAGGGCAAGCTCCCGCGAAGGCCAAGCCGGCAGCGGCAGGAGCAGCGGCGGCGGGGGCGGTAGCGGTGGCGGCGAAGCCTCCGTCGTTGCCGGCGAAGGCCAAACTGGCAGCGGCAGCGGCAGGAGCAGGAGCAGGAGCAGCGGTGGCGGCGGAGGTAGCGGCGAAGCCTCCGTCGTTGCCGGCATCGACTGGAGCTCCCACCCCCGCCGTCGCGGAAAATCCCCCAGCAGCCGCTGCGGTAAGCAAGACAAAAGCGGCCGTCTCCGATAAACCCCCCGCAGCCTCTGCGGTAGGCAAGACGAAAGCGGCGGCCACGGTCACGAGTTCTGCCACCGTCACCGCCGCCGCTGCCAACGGAGCGAAAACGGCAACAGCAACAGCAGTGGGCGACGTTCCGGCCGTGCGGCGCTCGCCTTCTCCCGCCCCACCGGCCAAGCGCTTGCCGAATCCTGCCCCCACCACTGCCGCCGCTGGCAACGGAGCGAAAACTGCAACAGCACCAGCAGTGGGCGACGTTCCGGCCGTGCGGCGCTCGCCTTCTCCCACCCCACCCGCCAAACGCCTGCCGAATCCTGCGCCCACCACTGCCGCCGCTTCCAACGGAGCGAAAACGGCAACGGCAACAGCAGTGGGCGACGTTGCGGCCGTGCGGCGCTCGACTTCTCCCGCCCCACCGGCCAAGCGCCAGCCGTCTCCTCCGCCGGCGTCAGCGCCGCTGCCGACGAAAGCAGCTCCGGCGCCAGCCCCTCCTCGCACGGTGTCGCCCGTCCGCCGCGGTGCTGCGGCAGGGATTCCGCCGCCGCTAAGAGCTTTCGGCAAACGGCTGGTGGTGATGCGGCCGACCGGCCAACCGGACCCGACGATGCGCGCGTGGCCCTACCGCCTGTCTGGGGAGTACTTCAAGCTTCTGGAGAGGGGACCGAGCATGGGGGCGTGCGACCCTTCCAGGAACGCGAGCTACGTGGGAGTTGTCCTGCCGGCGGAGGCGGTGGTCGCCGGCTTCGAGGCGGAGCGAGAGGTTCGGCGACAGGAGAAGAAGCAACAGCAGCAGCAGCAGCAGCAGCAGAGGAAGCAGCAGCTGCACCAGCAACAGCAGCAGCAGCAGCAGAGGAAGCAGCAGCAGCAGCAGCAGCAGTCATCTTCATCGACCACAGCAGCGGAGGCTCCCACCGCTGCCACGGTTGCCTCGTTGGTGGCTTTCTCGACCGCGGTTGGTGGTGGCGGCGGCGGCGGTGGCGGTGGCGATGCAAATGCCGGCGTTGTATCAAGGGGAGAGAAGAGGGGAGCCCAGGCTGCGCCTGTACCGTCGACATCGGTGTCGACGGCGGCGTTGGCAGACCTGCGGGTGGCGCTTGCGGGTGGCGCTGCCGCGACCGCGCGCGGGGCCAAGCGACCGGTAACGGTGGCAGGAACGTGGGGCTCGAGAATCCGGGAGGCAGAGGAGGAGTTGAGGGCGCTACAGGAGACCAAGATCCCGAGGTACGTCGTGGTGCTGTTGGTTGCGCACGAAGCGGTGTGTTTCAGGAATACTTGTTCTTTGTTTGCCTCCTGTTGCGTGCTCGGGACGTGGCGATGTCGCAAGCTGCAGCGCGTAGGTGCCTGCTGCGTAGGTGATGCCGGCTGTTGGCCCATCTTCACTAGCACTGCGTTGTGTGCTTGGCGTTAGCAAACCCGCAGCGCTCCCCTTCCTATAAGCGTGGTTTCGCGTACCTACTGGCATAGCCGTGTCTCGTATGTTTTGTCATGGTGCTATTTTGGCACGAGAAACGCGGTTACTATGCCGTGCCCAACGTTCGCCGGAGAAAAAACACCCGCTCCTCGCCCCTTCCCTGCCCCTGCCCGAATGACGTGCTCAAATCACGCCGTACACCGTAGAGTGATGAAAGCTTTGGCCGATGTCTCTCAGCAACGACGAAAGCTGGAAACGACCGCTGCTTCCCTCGCTGCCAAGAGCGCAGCCGCCAGCGCCCGCCTGGCGCAAGACTCGCGCGACGCCGCGGCAGCTCTTCTTGCCGAGCTGCGGGCCAGACGCCAAGTCTCGACCCAGCAACGGCAGAAGCAGGCTTCCAAGCAGCTGCACCAACGGCAGCAGCACGGGGGAGGCACGGCGGGGGGCATGCCAGCTCTGTTGGAGAGCGGGAGAAAAACGAGCTCTGCCGCTGCTGCTAATGGCGCCGGTGCCTGTGCCGGTGCCGGTGCCGGTGCCGCCGCCGCCGCCGCAGCCGCCGCTCTTCCGTCGGTGCTACCAACACCAAAGCCCTAGCCTTACCCTGCGGGCTTGGTCGGTGGGGCAGCCGAGCTTTCTTGGAAGGATCTCATCGGAGCTCGCGCCTGGCATCGAAAGAGGCATCTGGTGGAGGGGGGCTGTCCCAAGAGGACATCCCAGATCTGGTGCGGGTCTGTGTGTAGAAGTCAATGGAGAACGTGTGAAGAAACCAACGGAGAAGATTGGTGTTCACGCGAGATATCGGCGAATCACGGAGGGGGGATGAATACACGCGCACCAAAGGCCTGTGGGACTGAGTGTACTTGTATTCGGCCGCATGCCCTGCCCTCTTGTGTACGTTTCGCACTGCCCTCGTCCGCCCCCCGCCCCCATTCCCCCATGCTTGCGCAAAACGCCTACTTCCCGTTGCGCTTTGACGGAGGAAAAGGTCCGGGTCACAGAGCAAATGGTAGGAGATCTTACTGCTGGGCTTTCGGAGTGGCAAGGCGGCCATCTGATTTCTCGGCCACGGTAGGGCGGCGACGTTGCGCCCGCCCCGTCCCCCGTCCGCGCGAATTGGTTGGTGGGGCGCACTGCCGGTTCGGAACACCTCTTCATGTGTACGTGGGATAGTTTTGTTGCATGGAGAGTCTGGTGGGAGATAGGGATGGCCAGCTCATAACTTTTTACTTTTCTGGTAAGCGGTCTTAGTTAAGTATGGTAAAAAGCGGTCAGAGATAATAAGAGTGGTGTTTTCGTGTTTCCGGTATCATGAGTTAAGTCTCGCGGGACAATATATTGCCCCAGGTGCAGGTGTTGTGGTTGGAGTTCATGTTTTGATAGCGGCCACCTGAAAAGCGACCTCGCCAGAATTTTGGAAGTTCTGGGAGTATCGTGGTAGTGGTATCTGCCCCCCCTCCCCCTCCATGCGCGTCCCCCCTTCCCCGTATGTTGCCATGGTGCTTGATTACCCTAAAAAACACGGGGCCTGTTGGTAGCGACAGATGCACCGTAGCATGCCCTGGCTTTTCACCGTGCCAGGCGTGTTGCCGATGCGGACTGTGGCAACCGCCTGCCGCCTTTCACCTTTTTTTTTTTTTTTCGCCTTGCCCGGCCCTCGGGCTGCTGCTCGCCGTACGAACCGAGAGTGTCACGCCGAGACTGTTCCGGCACCACTCTCCCCCAAAGCTCAGTGCAGGCAGCGATGGCCTTTCGTTTGCTGGCGGGAGCGTAAGAGAGCGGGAGCTTGGTGCCAGGTGAAGGTGGAAGGTGAGGGCCGGCGCTTGGACGGTGTGTGTCACTGCTGTGATTCTTGCTGTGTCGGTGTCGCCAAGGGGGTAGCAAGGCGGCTAGAAGCCGTGTTGGCTATTCGCTGTTCGACTGCACTGGGAAGGATTTTGTTTATGTTCACGGCCCTTTGGACTAGGGGGGCGCGGCATGCCTCTGGGAGGCGCGGCATGTTTCTTGGTGCGAGTCGACATCATTGATGGCGTCGCCGCGGTGAGATATGTTAGGTCAGAGAAACGTGTTGGAAGCCGTTTCCGGGTTCATGATTTTCTTAACGCATGCACGTGTATATATTTACCCTAGTAAAATGTATCGTGCCTGACTCATGGCGATGCGATGCAATAGGGTGAAACCCGAGATCGTAAATCGCGCTCAAGCGCCGTAAGGTTGTGTGTTTCCGCCTCCTTCACGGTTACGCGGTCACTACCCCCTCCCCTTGCTCGTTCTGCCTGTTAGCTCCCATCCCCGCTAAGCCCTCCTGCCCAATCGCGACGTTTTGTGTCTTCCTCACCTTATTTATTGCGGATCGGCGCATGGCGGCTCGACCGGCGTGCTTCTTACGCTGTGCTCTCCGGTGCTGCCAAAATCTACCTACCGCCTACGGTTGTTGCCCCGTATTGTAATATTTTGTTGGGTGTATGGGGTGCCCGGGCTCTTTGTTGTTGTTCTACATGCACGCCACGTTCCCCACCCACCACGTGTCAAATATGCGTTGGTGGATGCGCTTGCCGTTCCCGCGCGATGGGTTATGCGTTTTTCTGCGACCGTTATGTGCGCACGGCGTCGTGACCATTTGTCGGTTACGGCGACTGCCTGGCTGTGTTGGGGTCGTTGTGGCGTTCGACTTGCTGTATTGTACGTCACCTTGTTTTTCCTGATTGTCAATCAACGCTTTGTTGTGATCGTGCCTTTGCGTTGTGGCGACGAACGAAGTGCTAGAATGTAGGCGATTTTTTTTGTGTGTTGCGGTGCGTGAGTACTTGTAGGATAGCCGAGGGCGTGTGACGGTATCATAGCAGTCCTTGGCAGCGGGTAAGTTCTGGTCTCGTATCGTGTGTGCAATGCACCTGCTCTTCCAATCTGCGAAACCTTGCAGAGCGGCTGCGATGGACCTTGGGCGAAGGGGCAGGTGGATAGGAGACTTGCTAGTTTTTTGTGTTTTGGATGCCCATGTCGACTGTTGTGTTTTCCGTTTTGTACGTCGGATATTTTCCCGTGGTTGTTTTGCGCGGAGTCTCTTGTTCGTTGTGGGCTTGTTCGGAGGGGATAGACCAGTTAGGATAGACTAGTTTCAGGCCAAGGGCCGAAACTTTGCTCGAGTTGTTTTTCGTGTCTGCGGCCGTGTGCCGTACCATGATTTGGTTGCTTCCAGGAGTTTTGTCTGCACAATAAATGACACCTCGAGTAAAAAACTGGCCATGTCGCTTGATCGCGATCGCACACGCGACGGCTTTTATCGTCAGAATGCTCCGAACGCCCGCGGGCGACTGCGAACAACGGTCGCGATGGATCCTTTTTAGACTTGAACGAACACCACGGGCTGTGATGCTTCGAATCTCGCATTTTACGGAATGGGGCTGCCTCCCCTGTGCACTGCTGTGCACGACATAAAATACATGGGCGAAGCAAGTATCATCGTCTAGAGAAACACAAGACTCCTGTCGCCACATAGCTCCCCACCCTGCCCCCCTGGTCGTTTAGCTGGTTGGGTTCCAACCTTCAACGGCGTACACCAATGCCGTTTGACACGCCTCGTCTGGCAATTTGCAGCGTTCATGCTGAGTCCCGTGTTTGTTGCAGTACCTTGCGAGGTCAACAACCATCGTGTTTTTCACGAGCTACAAGTATGCTTATTTCGTCGTTCGCCTCCTTCCACAGAGGCTTAAAAGCAAATCGAAAACCAATTCCCACCCTCGCCCACATTCCTCCAAATGGTGTCGATCGAAAAAATCCTACTGATAGAAAACATGAAATCATCTCTGTTCTTCTGAGTAAGTGCAAAAATTCAGCGCTCTTTTCTCGAGCTCCGTTCACCCCCTCCTTCGGCTGCGGCGGCGTTACATGGCGATCCGGTCACGGTCACGTCCTCCGGCAAATCTCCAGCCTTCCCGCCAATGTGTTCCACCTCGATTGTTCCGCCCTCTCCCGCCCCTGCCGCTTCTGGAGTCCTTGGAGCAACATTCACCGCTGGTTTGTGGTGGTTGGTGTTGTCAAGTTGAGGGCAGCAAGGTGTAGTTAGGGGGGAAGGGTGCAACAACTGTGTGCCAATGGAGACAGTTTGTGACAAGCTCTGCAACTCACGGAGCTTTCACCACAAGGCAGTTGTTGTTGGTGATCGAAGGCTGACGTCGGCGATGATGCAGAGGTAGCAACGCCATCGCGGGTGTGCAAAACCCTTTGGGAAATACCCATCTATAGGCACCTACGGCATGACTTCGACGTAGGTGCTTGACAAATGAATCTGCCTTGCTCTGGTCGGGCAAAATGAATGGATTGGCTTCGCTGCCAACCATTAAGGGTCGAAAATGCTACGGCTGCAGTGGCAATTGGTTCTCGGCTACATGGACAGCGGGTCTTCCCTTTAGGTGAGGCTGAAAGCTACACATACATCACCAGTTGTGGCAGAAATCGTTTTACTTGAAATCAACCAGGGCACATGGGGCAGACACGAAGAGGGTTGTATGGCACATTGTTCCAGAGTTTGATGCCAAATTTCCATAGGCGAGTGCTACGGTGGCAGACGAACGCACTCAAATGGTCCCGACATTCGACGCCGTTGAGATGTTGAGATACGTGCGATAACTCTCAAATGAAACGAAGCAGATGGGCGGGTGACATTGTAGACACGGGTTTCCAAATGCACGCCTTAGTTACCGTAGTTGCCTCGATCGTTCAGCCTGGCCTGCGCAATGTTGTATTTCAGCATTTCCTCCACTTCATTGATGCCCTTGATGAGCCCAGCTAGAAAAAAAACGGTTCAAGGCAAGAGGGAAGCAATCGCACGCAGCAGATTGTCAGCGAGACGGTACCGACTAAACGGTCGTTCGCCCCCAAGTATCCACGCGGACGGATTGTATCTACAGTACTCGGCTTCTGCTACGAACGGGGTTTTACAGTAGTGCTCGTTGTCTCATTTCGTCCCGAGCAACAGCAGTTGCAACGAGATTACAACTAAGGCTTGATGCAGTGCATGGAAACAAGAGGCGAGCAATCGCATGGAGACTCCGTGCACCTACAGCAGGTCCGTACAGCAGTACCGCTCCTGCAGCTGTATTACACATGTAGTCTAGACAGACAGCGTTGACTTGCCGCATCCCTCTTGGCGCGGCGATCGGACGCAACAAACGCTATACAAACAGCAAATGGCGTTTGAGAGGGCAAAATTAACGTCTACGAAGTAACCGATTCGCGATTTGATATCGTCAAGCACTTTCCATCCGGTAGAGACGGTCAAGCTACGCTCTTGCTCTGCTGTGCTGCTGACCTATCTTGGAGGGGTCGGTGACGGCCTTGTTCTTGTTGAACTCTATTCGCAGCTGTTGTTTTGATGCCTCAAGCATGGTAGTATCGTCTTCGAAAGCAACCACGCGCACGCGCATGAGACGCCTATATCCCCCCAGTACCTCACGTCGGAGCGAAGCCATTGCTAAAAACGCAACACGCAGCAGCAGCGGCAGTGAAGACACAGCAGAGGAGCACTCCAGCGATGCTGCACACGGGGGCACACGGATGTGAGGGCATTGGGGTATGTAGGTTGAACCCAAACGCCAGCCGGAACTCCCATTGCCGAAACCGTTGGTTTTCGCAAACCGTTTTCTTTCGTGCCGCTCTTCCTGATGCCTGGTGCTTGATACCCAGAATCTGAAAACATGTAACAGCACGGACACAGTTGAGACCTGCGAGTGATCCACCGCTCAGTGATGGCCAAATTGTCAACAACAGCAGTAGTGTGTAGGGTCAAGAACAAAGCAACATGAACCATCAGGTGCGACAAAAGATCGGCATAAAAAGTTCTCGAAAACCCCTCGTTGATACTGTCAAGCTCTGTGAACACACAGCGTACATAGGATCACACGATTTCTGGCGTAACACCTCGCCGCGCTGTCAGCAAAACAGATGTTATATTATTGCGTCGGGCGATTTGTCTGCTGCCTGAGTAGCCCGAGACAAGCCTATAAAGTACCGGATACAGCTGGCGGTTTGAATAACTCTTGAGATTGGTGTATGTAGTAGCGGTACGGGCGGCGCCACGAAATACTACTGGTGTTTGATGGTTAGCTCCAAGGGTGTCCCTCAAAAGGTCTGGCGATAAATTTACAGCCGCCACCAATACAGCAAAATTTTCCATTCACGGTCCTAGAGTCAAATTAAAGCTTTTGCTCTCAATCTCTTCAGCTTCGCCCATACCTTTACCAGGTACAGTCTCTGGCACCATCATCATCGCATAACACAGACAACTCTAGACCCAAAGTGACCTACAGATTGGGCGGGGCGGGGGGAAGTACAACAGCTGGACAGGGTTTTCTGGCTGAGAATGTCCGTTGATGTCAAATACTCGTATGTCTTACGGTTCTCTGTCTGGCAAACTCCTCAACAAGATGGCATGCACCGTTCACAGCATCGGCGGTCGTGTGTGGAAATATATTCATTGTCAACTGGGGTAAGCACCTCCGGCGGGTACCAAGTAATTGTTCAATCGGTGCACCACAGGCAGGAAAAGATGCGTGCAGCGTACGTACATGCTTATCATGAAGAAACAGGAGCCCTTAGGACATACAGAAGGGTGGTCCCGCTCGAGCTTTTAGTGGCACAGCAGGGATGTTTCCACACAGCGCCGAAACGGTTGTATGGGAACTGAACACAACGATAACAAAGCCGAAAGGTTTTCTCATTACACCATAGAGCACACATCGATGCGTTCACTTTCAACTGGGATGAACAGCTTACATCATCTTTGGGCTGTTTCTCTGTTTGTGCCAGGTGGTGACCGACTACACCGACGTCAACACAGAAAACTCGTCGGTGTGCGTCTACGTGAGGGCTCGACCGCCTGACCCAAGCTGGAGTCCGCAGGATGACGATGCCTCTGTGGAGGACAAGTTCCAAAACCCATTGCAGGCTACCCTTGCGGGTGCGTTATACACTGTACACGTTGTTCCGTTCCATGAAACCTATTGAACAAAAACGCAGAATCTCCTAGGACTCCCTTGGTCAATGAGGGTTCTTCCGAACCCCAGACGTACCTCGTGGGTTGCTTGGTCCGTAAAGGGTCCTAGACTACAACTAGACTGCACCATGATCTACAGTAGGAGACACATAATCTACATATTCAGGCACTGTCGTTTGCGTGCGTGCACACGAGGATTTGATGACTGTCACCTGTTCTGTTTTTTTTTCTCATCTTGCTGGCGCAAAGCCAATAGTCTACATGTAGAGCTGGGACGTGAAACTCAACAATGTACACCGGAGACGCCAGTAATAGTGTGCAAAGGCTGGGTTTGTACAAGATGTACACTCTTCGACGACCGTCTTTTCGAGATGAATGAAATCGACGCTAGAATCAACCCATATCGCACAATCTTTCCCACTTATTGAGACAGGCCTGTCGCCAAAAAGTAACTCCGGCGGCCAGTCTGCTACGCCGCAAGCCACGAGCAGTGCGTTCATCACGAACTTTCCAGACAACCCGAAAAAGATCTGCATCAAGGACCCCGCTGTCCAGGGCTCTGCCAAGCACCACGGGGAGATCTACTTCTCCTTCGACAGGGTCTTCTGGACAGAGTGTTCCCAGGAAGAGATTTTCCAGGTAATTGCTCCTCGTGCTCTTACTGCTGTCGTGTTCCGGCCCGGGAAAGAGACGGGAGGCCCAGGGGCACGCTTTGCACAACCTCTCTTTCTGCGAACACTCTCGCATATCTCTCCAAAGCAGCACCGTCTCGCGCTCTGAATGTACAGCCAGGGTGCCCTATGCTATAAGGGAAAAAAACAGTGTCATCGCCACAACAGTCTCAAATGAGGGAGTGCCGAATGATATTCTACCATTATTCCCTTTCCCAACCAGCTCTTATTCCGTACCAATCGTCTCCATGGCCGTCAACTCATCCTTCCTTCCACCGTCGAAAAAAAAAGGCGGGTGAGCGGGGCAAACGACGACGTGTTGGCTATTATTCTAGCTTGCGAACCTCGACTTTCCACGTACCTCACCCCCGGAATTCGAGCTGTTTTAGCGTGTTTCTTCCCTTTTCTACATGTTTTCCATTTCGACTGAAAATTGTTTTGGGGCCGACTGCTTTCGGTTGTTTTGGTTCTATTTATTTTCTTCCCCTGGTCACGAACTATAACCATGCCCTTCTGAATTCTACATAATTAGTGGTTGGTATTCAAAAGCAAATCTTCACTTTACACAAAATGTGTGCCGCTGCTAAAACAACCACAACAAAGGCGACGCTAGGTTCACAAATCTCTCTTCTTTTTCCTTGTTTAACTTCGCTTACGAAACACCTATCTATTAAGTAGGCATAAAAGTAGCACCGTCAACATCAGAACGCTTTAGGTTCCGTTCCCTGTTCCACTGTGGTTTCTTGTCCGCCTGGGGTTTGGGCTGCCACGACTAGCATGGTCTTGTTAAATCGGCGCGAGTGACTCGGATGGTAGATGCTAGAACTCAACTGATGGGTGGAGATGGATAACACACGCATTGCAAAGTTGTCTCCTGGCCTCTCTCGACTTTTCGGCTCGTGCGCCAGAGCAGGCCGTCGCCAAGCCCCAGGTCGAAAACATACTCGGCGGTTTCAATGGGTGCTGCTTCGCTTACGGGCAAACCGGCTCTGGTAAGAACGAAAGAAAACTGGATTAGGCATGACCCGGTACTTACCATTAATTCGCCGAAACATCAAGCTGCTAGGATAAAAATGGTCGCCTGAGGCTTCGGAACTTGTTGCTATTAGTGACACATTTCAAGGCATCAATCGACAGATCACCGCTGGTTGAAGTGCCCCAAGAATAACAGGCGTATTCCCTTGTACCTTCGAGCGATCACGGATTTCATACACCTTGCCGGTTGGATCAGGACGAAGTTCAGGAAGGCGAAGTATCGATATCAGAACGGCTTTGAACGCGAAAAGGCAGCGAAACAAACGAAAACAACACGAGTAACACGCGAAAACAAGCGAATGAGCTGACATGTGCCCCCCAACGTGTGGTGCTGCTCTGAACGATTTGAAGCAAAGGAGTGGGCTGCACCAGGCGTTGTACCTAGAGCTACGCTCGACCCTTGCGACAATCCGGTGTCTCATAGAAGGGGTCCTCTGTGCTGCATGCCTTAGATTTTTTTCAGAGGAGTGTTGAGCGATCCTCTTCCCTTTGAATCCTGTTCAGGGAAAACGTACAGCATGTTCGGAGAGGGAGCCGGGAATTCGCGAGGAATGATTCCGAGGTGCATGGAGGAGGTTTTTGCCCAATTGGATAGAAAAGCCAAGGTGAGCAGTTCGACGCTTTGAATAGAAGCCCGGCCTGCAATAATTGCATGTTTTCCGGTAGGGTGAGTGCTTCCAGTGCAAACCTCAGCCTCTCAGTTTTTCTTTTTGCTTACACTTTCACAATGGATAACAAGCCCAACCCTCACTCCGGCCCCATTACCTGCGTGAATTACACTGCCCGTGGATGAAAGGAGGAAAAAGAGGTTGCTGTCGTCGTCTCGTTCTTGGAAATTTACTGCGACCGCGTCAGGGATCTGGGAGAGGCGTTCATGTCTCAGGGGCACAGGAAGGTAGAAGGGCTCAGGACGACAAGCGACGTCCACCAACAGATGAAGTCGGTGCGTCTCGCGGTTCTTGTTGGCCGCGATGGGTGTCCTTTGTGTGACATGAAGCACGCTCTTGTGTGGCGATTGATTCCATATCAGCAAAACGGACACATCATTTCGGGCAGGTGGCCTGGTGTGATAAAGGAGATCCCTCGTTGCCTCTGGTATCCCTGACTGTGCTCACGGGATAGCCATAGGCGTCTTGCCTCCTCGTGCCTTGCGGGCACTGTATGAAACAGCATGCACACTCTTGCGTGTTGGGAGTGCGCTCTGCTCCACGATATGTCCGAATAGTTCGATGACCACCTCACTCATGCCGCGCTGATGCCTAGATTTAGAGGTGAGACCCTACCCGCCGTCACCTTCCCCCTTCCACCCCCTACCCCGTCGTGATCGACCCTCCCTTCAAAGTCTCGAGCGGAGAGTTTTCAGCCGCGCAACAAGCACGGGAGTGGCAATATCCACCCAGGGGGCGGCGGCAGTGGTGGGGTGTGGGACTCCTACCCGTCGATGGACCTTAAGATACACGAAGACGTGCAGGGAAACGTCTTCGTCAAGGCAAGTGAATTCACAAACGGACACGTGGTGTAGACTAACTCTTGGGTGAGTGAGTGTCGTGTTGAGGTGTGCCGTGAAAACATATTGCGACACTGATTACCTCGTGCTTCCTCAACAAGACACAGAGGAGTGTGAATTACTCCGCGAAACACAGCAGGTAGGTACATATGCACGCAACACGCAACACGCAACACGCAACATAGCCACAGGATAATCCCAACGGCCCCTGTCCTCTCGTCCTCGACAACCCAGGACCTCTCCCTGATCCCGGTAACCACCTTGGAAGAAGTGCTGGAGATCATCAGCCTAGGGCTGAAAGTTCGGGCGACACACGAGACAAAGATGAACCAGGTGATGATGACTCGGCATGAGACACGGCAGCAGTAGTTTAGCGGTAGACCTACCGGAATCACAAACCGGTGGTACTTGTTTCCGTCTTCCCACTATTGTACTAGTCTAATCAAGTGCACAGAATTCCTGCTCGCTCAATAGCAACGGGGAAACGGCCATACGTTGGTTAGTCCCATCCCACGCCCCCCCCCCAACCGTTATCGCCGAAATTTCGCTGTCATCGTTGCCGTTGTGTCGGGCCGTGAATTTGGGAAGGTTTCAAGCAGAAGCCACACTGTTTTCACCGTGACCGTCGTGCAGAAGGACCCCTACACGGATGAGACGACGACAGGTTTGCTCGTGTCTAATGCGCAAAACATTTTTGTGTGATGTAATCTCTGTAGCACCAATCTGCCCAGCCTTTGTGGCCAAACCACGAGACGCCAGTTCCTCGCCGAGGGACAAGTAAACATACCACCTCCTTTGTCGTATCCCCGCCCCCCAAACGATAACTGGAGCCAGTATTAGGAATTGATGGAGCGGAGGGGACGATGTATTTTTCTTTTGATCGACCAACGTGTTCTTTTCGGCCGCTCAATGAAAACATGCCTCACACGACGGGTGAAAAGGTGTGTAGGTACTGCTGTAAGAACCCTCCTTACGCGCGAACCTGTTTGCTTCCGGTTCGGGGTCATCGCCTGAGGGCGAAACCAACCGATACGTTAAGCGTTCTACCTAAAAACGCCTCACCGTCAAGTTACTTCTCTAGCCCGTGAAGAAGAAGGCCCGTCATTCGCCATACTGCTAGCGAGCGTGATGTAGGCTGCTGGCATGTATCAGGCTCTCCAAGGTTGTCGGTCATAAACGCCGACCTCATGACATGAAAGGAGGGCACATCGGCTGCTGGTTTGCTGCCTCTCCCTCCCGCTCTCGAGCCAACACGATCGTCTCACCGCGGCGGCGGCGTTATCTTCTAGTCCAACGTATGGCATGCTTCATTCTCCAGCACGATGTGTCTTGTGTCGCCGGCGATCTCTGCTGTTGACGAGGTCAGGCATGCTCAACCTCGTTGACCTCGCCGGGAGCGAGCGGCTGAAGAAGAGTGCGTCGGAAGGCCAGCGGAAGACAGAGGCCCTCCACATCAACTCGTCTCTCACGGCGCTGGGCAAGGTAGTGATGGCCCTGGACCCCAGCTCGGGACTGACCCACATCCCCTACCGAGACTCCAAACTCACTCGCCTGCTCCAGAACTCCCTGGGGGGCAACAGCTTCACGGTGGTGCTGGCGACGGTGCATCCTATCGCTCGGTGAGCCGACGGTATATCCTATAACAGCACTGGAGAGGATCTGGAAATTGTAGAAACGGGAGTGATTTTGATTGGGCTTCATGCACGTGACTATCCGTTCGCATGCTCCATGCCGACACAGCATTGGTGAGTGAGGTGAGTAGGAGAGTCTAACCAATGCGTAAGCCTTGCGAACATGGTCAACAAGTTTCCGAGTAGATTCTTTTGTACGCCCACTACGCATGCTTGCTCCGCGCACGCAAGGTTTTCGGAAGAGTGCCTGAGCACGCTTCAGTTCGCCAACCGGTGCCGGAGCGTACACAACAATCCCCGGGTGAACAAGCTTGGGGACGGTCCAGGGGGCGATCAACGCAAGCTGAAGAAACTTCAGGATGAGATACAATCGCTGAGGCAAGATAAAGGCTTGACGGCACGAAGAGCGATTGGTCTGGATTGTGTGTGGCCTTCCAACCGTGGACACTAACTTTCCAAGTGTTCTCGGTGACCAAATGACCCCGCACTTCCGAACAGCCTAAGTTGCGTTGGATGTCGCGTTCTTGGATGAGAGCCGTTGAACAGATCCCATTCTCCCACCCTCCCTCCCTCCCATCCCTGTCCTTGGCGTCACACTTACAGCACAAGCTGACACCCTTCCCTGCGGGCCACGCTTGTCGTCAAATCATTTCCGACCAAGAGCAGGTCACGACTAGGCAACGGGGGCTTGGGAGCCGACGGCCCTGGGGGGGTCAGTGCAGAGGCAAACTCCCGCGTGTTGGCGGTGCTCGCGCAGATGGGACTTGCTGACGCCATGCAGCTTCCCAACGGCTCCATCCGCCTCCCCGACGGTCGCATCGTCGGGAACTTCGGGCTCGATGGCGAAGGGAGCGGCGGCGACGCCAGCAACTCTATGGCAAGCGTTGGGGGGGCGGGGGGTGGGGGCGGCAGGGGGGCGTACGCGAGTGGAATCCTGAAGGGCGTGCCGCCCGGCGTGCGGACTATGGTGCAGGGACTGGAAGGGGAAGTGCGCGGCCTCAAAAAGAAACTCAAGGTTAGTGGACTGCAAAATAAATTCACATGTTGGATGCGTTGGTCTCTTTTATGGCGCGGAGAGCAGGCTCGAACGGGCCAAGCTAATTTTTCTGTTGTTTTCCTTCAGCTCTAGTGTACGCCCACGTAAATCTTCAATATCCTTGGTCTTTGTCTGTCTTGTTGCTTCCGCTTTGAACACAACCCAAGAAACGTTCTCAGACTTGACCCCCAGCATCACAGCCCTCCTTTTCGTGATAATCTTCTTTATCCGGCTTGGTTTCCAGGAGCGCAAGAAGGAGGTGATGAGTATCCAAGCCCAGCTCGAGGCGCGGCGGGCGGTCTTCGTGGAGAGTGAAAAGGAATCGAAGAGGCGAGAGACCGAACTCGCGGAACAGCTTACAGTTGTTCAGGCCCAGCTATCCGAGGTCAGGGCGGCGGCAGCTCGGACCAAGGAAGACCAGCTGAACACGGTGCTGGCAGGGAGTCAGTCTGTGAGTAAGTGTAGCAGGTGGGGGTGGGGCAGCCTCGCAGCTGTACTTGATGGGCCCGTCCGCAGAGGGTAAGCAATGCTTGCAGCGGTGCTAGTTTACGTCTCGCAGCGTGACCACATTGAACTTTAGAAAGTCTGAGGGAGAAGAACATTTCGTTCCATTCGACTACTTTCCTGTTTCTCACGATCTGCTGTGTCCTCCGTCCGCAGCTCCTGAAGCGGCAGCGGCGAATGCTCCTCAACGCAACGGGGCAATGTTGCACTGAAGATGGGGAAGTCAGGGCTCAGGACGCCAGGTGAGGCGCGCGGTATGCCTCCCCAAGATGGAGGACACAACAAACCTACTACCACGTACGCGTTGAGGGTGGGTTCATCCGCTTATCGGTTTTACTACACAGAAAGAAGCCAGGTTCGGTAAATAGCCTAGTCGATTGTGGGAGGTTACGATTGCTGAACGAAACATTGTTTTATCCAGGCCGCGGGAAGACACAAAACAAACCAAGCACAACGATGGGTGCAACATCCATTAGAAGGGCTGCAACCACGCTATCCACGCAAATAGTCGCACTCGCTCTCGTCTAGAACTGGAACCCACTCGAATGAGACGGAGATATTGCATGTATCGCGTACATATGTGGAAACTGTTTTTGAGGTTGTGTGCATAAGGAAACTTGTTTAAAAACAGCGTTCAACGGAAATTTCCTCGAGTATGAATCGCACGTCCCTTCCCAAGAGTTATGTTTGATGGAACAGTGCTTGAAACCAGACGCAATCCGCTTGCTCCCGTACAAAGTTAACACCTTCTCCCATTGAACGACCCGTGTGTACTTATCCTTTCCCGTCCCCCCCTTGGTGTCGACGACCTCGTGCTCCAGAGAACGAAAGGCAGAGGCGCGCCGGCACGCGCAGAGCCTGCGAGCGCTCGAGTTCAGCAAGGAGGTCAGTCCCTGGTTCAAGGCCGACAGCCTGCAACTTCAAGGACTGGCATAGAATGGCTCACAGATACCATGGACGGCACCCGCGAGGCTCAGAAATGGATGCCGACGTAGGAAAACAGTGATCCCGGCGAAATAATCCCGTTGCGCCGCCTTTCTTTGCTTCCCCAACCCCTCGCCGCCGCGGAATAAAACCCATTGAATTCGCTCTGGCAAAACGTAGGTTGAGACCGAAAATCTGAGGCAACAATGCGAGCAGCTCGTACAAGCGGAAGCCGAAGGGCGAGCTCTGACCAAGACGAAGCTGGACAATCTCAGGGCTCGCCGGGATCGAGAGGTATTAATAATAGTTACATTCTGTTCTCCAACAAATTGCGCACCTCGCGGCCTTGCCCTAAGCATCGCTATGTATGTACGAGGTCTCACCGATATTGCCGACATAAACAGTCTAGTAGCTGGTATGCGCGACGCTGTGACCAACAGCGGTGCAACTCTTAGGTTTGTGCGCACCCCTGCGTTGGCTTGAAACGCCTTGCGAAACGAGAATTTCTTTGCGTGGCATAGAAAGTTTGTTTTTCGACATGGTAGCGAATCGAATGCCGTGTAGCACAACGCTATGTGCCACCTTGACGTAGTGGATGACGACTGCGACGACGATGGTTTATTTTGCTATTGTCGCTGTCGTCATGACCTTGGAATAAGTCTACACAACAGTACCTCTTCCTCCAAGCTCCGGAAGGCAAGGCGAAGCGAAGCCTGTTATATCGTCACAAGCTAGCCCAAAACAAGGTACAGAGAAATTTTATGAAGGCCCAGGCAAGAACCCACCACTTTCGGAGAAGGACAGTTCTTAGACAACAGATTCGATGTTACCGAGAAAAACAGGGCAAGGTACGAAATTCCCCAAGAAAGAAGGCAGAGTTTGTCGTTCTGACTTCGAAAGTTGAGTCACAACAAACACACTACAGGTATGGCACAAACCAAGCTTAACATGGGGAAGCTACCCTCGAACCCGCACGAATCTGGGCAGTGTTCATCGTCGCATGTTGGTCTCGTGCAACCCAAATAGCCCCACTTAACGAGAAGGGTTAAACACATCAAGTCATACATCATAAAAAACCAAGACAACACGTAGTCGTGCCTTCTGTATTTTGGTTGCTGCGCACGACTTCACGGGGATGGAAACGTCCTTTTCAAAACCATGAAGTGCTGCCGAAGCCGCTCAACTAAGGGAACAACAGAATCAGGGAACGTAACCCACAACTACGAAGCCCCGAAAGTTGGCCATATCGCGGCGGCTCGCACTTCATCCCCGCCTCTTCCTCCGCACTACGTGTCGAATCGACGCTCGGTAGCCATGGCACAAACGTAGAGCAATGGACACAACATTGGCAAGTGAATGCAGCAAAAATCTAGGATGTCTTCGTGAAGCCAACAGCCCCACCCGCCCCCCCCTGCTATCCAGCCTCCAACCGCGATCATCACTGTCTCGGTCAATGCAACCAGGTGAGGGAGTTGTCGGTAGAGCTCCTCCTCCTTCACGATCACGCCTTGTCGTTGCACGAGACCATCCGCTCGGCCGGCTTGGCTCCTTCCTCCTCCTGCGAAGTCATCTCAACGCTCGCCGGTGGTGCTGGCAAGATCGGCACCGAAGGACAAGCTTTAGTGGCAAGCGCCGTGGCCGCTCCCCCCACCGATGAAGCCCCAGCCGCGAAAGGCTCTCCTCCACCGATCCAACCATCGTCCACGTTGCTTCAGTCGGTGTCTCTGCCTTGCCTCTCGAGGCTTCTCGAGGCGAGAGGGGCTGCCGCGCCAACCTTAACGCAAGGCCTGGACGGCTGCCACCGACTATCGAAATCCCGATCGGGGGCTACGTTCGTCCAGGACGGCGGCGGCGGCGGCGGCACCTACCACGACTGTGACGACAACAACGATCGCCTGCGAGCAAGCACAACGACAGCGAAGCGCACTCGGACGAGGCCGGCATCGGCAGGGGTAGCGAAGAGGGGAATGGGAACTTCGGGCACGGTTTCTCCATCTTGTGACCCAGGTCTTGCCCGCGGGGCGGGGAAGTTGTTGGGGGGCGGGGTTCATCCTGTCTCCGCGACCAGAGTAAACACGAAGGCGGTCAGATCGGGGGGCGCTCGTCCAGAGGTAGAGAGAATTCGACCTGTGAGTGCTCCCGGGCGTCGACTAGCAGGGACATCAAGCGGACGCGAAGGGCTGTCGACGCTTGGAGATCGGCAGCACCGGGAGAGGTTCAAGGGGCCGATCGGGGTGGACGTTCGGGGCGGGAGCTCTGCGGTAGCAGCGGGTCGTGGGCAAACAACGCTCCTTGGCGGGTGGAGCGCGCAAGACGTCATGGACAGACCTGTTGGGGAGCTTTCGCGAGGCGGGCTATTTTGCATCGTGAGAGCGCTTCGAGAGAAGGTGGCAGCAGGTGGTCGCGACAACCAGGGAGTGCCGGAGGTAGATGAGGTGAGGAACGCGCGCGTGGAATAGCGATGGGAAAGTGTGGGCATAAGGCGGGTGTAGAAAACCTCTCTCCGTCCCTACCGTGGGGTTGGTAGCGGGCAGAAAGGTTCGCAGGGCTACAACCTGTCGCGCCCGTACCATTTCTGCTGTACTCCCAAAACGGGTGACAATGTCACGGTTGACGGGACAAGGCGTGCGGGACGAAGACGAAACACACAACTGAAGAAAGGTGTTGGAGTTTCCTAGCCCCCACTGCAGCAAGCAGCAGTAATAGCCTCATCCACGGCATGGTGGGCCTAAGCTCTTCGTTCGCGCTTTTCGTGTCAGCCGCAGGAGCAACAGCTGCAGCAGACGCGGCAGTGTCGACTAGAACCGACTGGCCATCATGCAGCACCTATCCTTGACGCAGTAAACGGCGCGGAGGTAGCTGAAGAACGAGGGCGCCCCGACATGCAAACTCAACTGCGGGAACAAACGCGTCGTTACAATGATCTTCGAGTTGCGTATGAGTCACTCTGCCGCCTTCTTGACAAGAGCCAAGGACACGCTGACGTTTTCCGCGCGAATGGTGGTAGAAAGGTTGGCGCAAAGGCGCAGTTGTCAGGAGGGCGCGGCAACAAGCCGGAGACTAAAAACGTGCAAAGGAGCATGGGGTAGAAAAAGCCTGTGGACACCAAGTATTGTAGCTGTTGAAAATCCTTACAACAACATGTTTTTCCGTTCCAACGTTTAGACTAATGCTTTTCTTAGTACATGTAGTCTAGCGTTGTTGGCAGAATGTTGTGTGAAACTGTGTTCTGTTAGTTATTTGCTGTCACTCCGATATATTCCACCATGGATGTGTGGACGCACCAGCTGGGGTCATACAAGACGATTTGCAGATTGTGCAAATTAGTTGATGTTCAGTTATTTCCATCAATTAATTGTGTTGGTGACCGGTCGCAACACTTACTTGCGAGATCAGCAGCAGTAATTGTGTTTTATTATTCCTAAAGTTTTTTATGAATGGGTCACCGCTATTACCGCCGTCTCCTGAGAAACCAGCTATGGGCACGTTTGGTTGAAATATGCATATATATGAACAATCAATCGTGTGGCATTTCGCGTCCAACTTACTGCAAAATACAATAGTTGCTCGAGGTAAGCTGCGATACCAATTCCATACACTACGAAACACTATAACCTCAGCGGAAGCTATAGCTGCAGGTTAGACCACAACATATTGCATCTCGTGTACATGTACCAACTTGAAGGTAACGCGGGTTCGTGAATGTAACACTGCTGTGTGAGTCGAATTATTTTAGCAAATTCAGAAGATGAAATAATAAAAACCTTTCAAGATATTTCGTACACGGGGGGAGGAACTAACTAACTCCTTGAAGAGGACACTAATTTTGCTGTTAGCATACAGAGGAAATACTCTTTGTGTGTAATAGCAGCTCTCATCTTGCGTGCGGCCCTGATGATGATGCGGAGGTCTGTTTTGTACAGCAGGAGGGCAAGACCGAGTCGTCGGTAGGCACAAGAACGGAAACTGCGATACAGATGGTGCCAGCCACCACCCCAAAACAAGAAAAAAAAGGAGAAAGGATCTGTTACACAAGTCGCGGATGCTGTACGACGACATGAACATGAAAGATATGGATGACGGTTGGAGTTTGAGCCAGCGCACATGCACACACACATACAGCAGCACCTGGCTTGTAGTTTAAGGAATAATAAAAACACACACAGAAAGGCTACCCATTCGAGACATTCTTTTTTAATACCCACAGCAGTCGAACGGGATGTGTATATCGAACGGACACTGCTGTCGACCAAACATGATAGGCTGTAGTACAGTAGTGCCTCGGTTAATCGATCCATGACTTTGTACAACACATCGCTCATGAGCCACTCAGCCGTCGAAGGGTACAACGAGGCGGAGGAGCGGGGTGCACGCGCGGTGTGTAGGCTAAAAGCGAGACAGCACCACCCGTAATTGCCGCTTGCTGCTGTTCTTAAAAAAAAAAAACATATTTTCCTGAACCTTTGGGTCTCCGTTCGGGGCAAAACGAAATATCACGGCTTATTGCTCTAGATAGAACATCGAAGATTTGCCCATAGGGCGCTCACCAGAATTGCCGTTCCGGATTGTCGCCCGAGCGTAAGCAGCTGCAGTAACCCTCGAAGTCTCCGCCATTGGAGACCCTGTGCGCTGTGCGCTGGTCGCAGGCGGTGCAGACCATTCACGACCGTTCACATGCACCGCTCTCTCTATTGCGCAACGGATTTATGTTTAAAATTTGTTCTGGGGTCTGTCGTCGTTCCCGAGTGCTACTCGTTTTTGGGGGTGCTGGGGCCGCATGGATTTTTTGAGAAACTTTCAAATGTTTTTGTCCCGGTTCTCATTTTCAGGGTCCTCTTCCTACTTTCTCCTCATCGTGTCGGCACACACACACACAATCACCCGCGGCGCGCACACCCTTGCTCGCTCTTCTTCCTGCCGCCCTCCCCTTACCTTGCGAGAGAGCTTGCACACACCCTTCTGTTCGACGAGCGAGAGAGAGAGAGAGGGGGACAGCAGCGTAGGAGGGGATAGATTCGGCGGAAAGATGCCACCTCCGCCGAGCTCGACGCCAGCTCCATACTCGGGAACGTCAAGCGTCCGCGAACGAGCTCGTGCCTGGCAGGCGAGCTCGCCTCGCGCTGCTTCTCCGCCATCCGGCAGCGTGAGCCCCCCGGTGGCGAAGGAGAAGGAGGTGCCGCCCACGATCGAAGAGATCGAGGCCATGGAGAAGGCTGACTGGGTGCAAGTAGCAGCAGAAGCAGCAGCTGACCAGGAGGAGCCGTGCCGAACGCCAAGCGGCTCCAGCTTGCCGCAGCTTGACAACAAGCAGACGCCCCGAACCTACAGCAGGCAGGTCAGCCGGGTCTCCGGGACCGGGGGGGCGGCGAGGGCGAGCACGCCAAGAGCCGCGGCAGCGGCAGCGGCTGCCGCGGCAGCGGCCGCTGCCGCTGCTGCCGGAGACGCCGCTTCTGCTGGAACCCAGAGAAGGGGAAGGGGACGCTCGCCACCGAAGCCTCCTCACCAGCAAGAAATTTCCAGGTCTCATTCTCAGCGCAGACTCCACCGCCGCTCTGTCTCCGTGGACGACCCCGACCACCGTCCCACGCAGCGGTTACCACGGGGGCAGCAGCACCCGAGGGCGACCAGAAGCGGAGGCGCTCCCGCCGGCAGGAGGACTGCCGCCAGCAACAGCAACTCAGGCAGCAGCGGCGGCGGGAGGCAGCCTCAGAACGGTCGACGCGTCCAGCAGCTCAATAACCCCGCAAGGACGTCCAGACCGGCGCAGCAGATCAACGGAGGACGGGGAGGCCGCGTCCCGTACACGGCGCACGGAACCCCGTCAGCGACACCGATGAACAGCAACAGGACGAAGCAGCAGCAGCAGCAGCAGCAGCAGCAGCAGCAACAGCAACAGCAACGTCAACAACTCTCCTCGTCTTCTTCTCCTGCTTCCCCGAGCACGCGTGGAGGATCGCGCAACTTCGACATCGCAACGCCGTCCCCGCCGCCGGCCGCCGCCGCAGCCGCCGCTGCTCCTGGGCTGCGACGACACAACTCTGCGCCAGACATGAGCCTGGTTGGAGACGACGAGCAAGAGCTGCCTCCTCCTCACAACAACGACGGCGGAAAAGCCTCGCCACGCGGCGGCGGAACGGCCGGGAGCACACCCCAGCGAGCCTGCTGGGGGGGCGGCCTGCCGCCTACCTGCGGGCCGGCGGCGGCTCGGGCGGCGGCGGCGGCGGCGGCAGCGGCAACAACAGCAGCAGCAGGAGCACAGGGAGGGGCGGGGTCGACGTCGGGCGGCAGCGGCCGGTTCCCTTCTCACGACCGCGAGAGCTTCGCGCGCACCCTGAACAACGAGGAGCTGGACGAGGTGTGGAAGGGGCTCGGGGAAGGGGTGAGCCAGAGGGGCTGCGGGTCGGAGGTCGGGGTGGGCTTCGATCTAGCGGACACCACGCCGCCGAGCCCGAACGGAACGGGGGTCTCGGGCGCGTTCCCAAAACTCACCGCCAACGTCCTCGAGCGACACGACCAGCTCGCGGACGACGACGGCAGCGGCGGCGGCGGCGGCGGGAGCGGGGGGGGGGGCGGGGGGGCGGCGAACGTCGTGCCCATCCCGAAGAAGTTGATGGAGAGGTCGGCGGAGGACATGGAGAACGGGACCTCCTCCAAGAAGAGCAGCGGCAACGGCAACGGCAACCAGCCCGCTAGTGGCGTGCAGCAGCAGGAGAAGACGCTGCTAGGAGCGATCGTGTCGTACGGCGTCCTGGTCCTGTGGGTGGGGCACCTCGTGTTCAACGTCTTGTTACTGTGAGTTGTAGTTGCCGTGGCTGTCTTGTGAGCAAAACCGGTTGCATCATGATGATGAGCAAATGAGCAAAACCCGTGGCTGTCTTGTGAGCAAAACCGGTTGCATCATGATGATGAGCAAATGAGCAAAACCCGTTATGCGTAAGCATACGTGTGTTGCCCCTTCAATCTCTCTCCACCTTTCGACGCTGTATGCCCAGGTACACATATATTTCTTGCCAAAAGATCGTTTGAAGTTTGAAGCTTGAAGCCAGCCTACCCTTCTCACCCTCCTGATTCAGATGATCGGTCGAAAGTCCCCCTCCAACCTTAACCTTGAATTGGGGTCTCGGATTGCAGTTGATTGTGCTTCACTCAATTTCTTGCTTTGATATAAGTGCTTGGCGAGCAGCGCACCTGAAATGAAACTTAAAACCTGAAACTGAAACTTCTCTCACGAAGTCAGGAACCTTTGTTTTCCACTTTGGCTTGTGTGTGTGTTGGCCACGGCAGCAGAGCTTTGTAGCTACTATAGCTGTCTTGCCGGGCTGGTGCGTTGCTGCTAGTTAAACCCGTCCCTTTCGCAACGGCCGTGCTCAGCGAGGACTCCCTCCGATCTGGCTCGAAACGGGACGCACGATTAAACAACATTCCGATGGATGCCCCGATTCTCTTCCTTGTTTCAGCAACTGCAGTTGCCGTACACATGACACGGTTGCTCTATATATACATAAGCGAAATCTCTGTCGTAACATGACTGATGCGCCGTTGAATTCTACCACGTTGGTACGTCAGTAGGTAGGCGACGGTGGGGAAGCGGGGCGCACAACCCTGGCAGCTTTTTCTCAGCAGTTGTTTTCATCCCCCCCCCCCACACAAATCCTGTCTTGGGGGTGGGGGTGTATGCATATGTGTCCTCAGGTGTTGGTTTTCTTTTTCCGACAAGAAACGTGTATATTTTCTGAAAACGTGGTGGTACACCCGCCCGAACACCAGTATGAGTACACCCCCCCCCACACAAATCCTGTCTTGGGGGTGGGGGTGTATGCATATGTGTCCTCAGGTGTTGGTTTTCTTTTTCCGACAAGAAACGTGTATATTTTCTGAAAACGTGTGGTACACCCGCCCGAACACCATTAGGCCACAAACAACAACACATGTGGATTTAACTGAACTGAATGTTGTGCGACCCGACCCCACGCCTCCCGCCCCCGTTCAATGATGTCGGGCTGTTGCTGCTGTCCCAGGTGGCGTGTCGTTGCTGATGAGCAAGTCTGGGCCCTCTGCTTCCTCCCGGGGGTGCTGGGCATCCTCTTGTCGGTCAACAGCTGCCGGAAGAGCCATCGCCGCTGCAAGCCGTTGAACGCCGACGACGCGCAGACGCAGCGGCGGCAGAGGGGGCGGGAGCGGAGCGCACCACACGCGTGCGCGCTTCCCGCCCACACGCTGCTCCTCTTGGCGGTGGTGGTGTGCCTCGGCTTGCACGCGTCTGCCTTGCTCTTCTGCGAGGTACGTTTCGCCTTCTAGTCTTCTTATCGGTGTTTCCAGTTCGTTTGTCCGCGAATGTTTTTGGTGTTGTTGTTGTTGTTGTTGTTGTTGTTGTTGCCCGCATTAGAAAGCCGTTCCGGTCTCCTCCAGTACCTTCGAACATCCGTGTTTGCTTGCTGTCTCAACATTGAGAAATCCGTTCCGGTCTCCTCTCAGCACCTTCGAATATCCGTACTCTTGTGTGTTGTTTGGCACACTTGTCTTAGAAGGGCCGAAGCCGCCCACCCCCAAGCGCCCGCGGGGGGCGGGGGAGGGGACTCGAGAGCATATGCAGTGTGTATATGCAGTGTTGTTCTTTGTTTCTGTTGCGGGCTAGGGAGCGTATACTCAACTTCCAGGCTGTCGACTCCGATGATGCGATTGAATCCAGCGCGGCACGAGCGCCAGGCAAGCCAGCGCAACGAAACGCCATGTTAGATACGAAAACCTCCTCGTTCGTGGTCTGTCCGCCCCGTCCCCTCAAATCCCCCCTTCCCCTTGTTTTTTTGTCTCATTTTGTCTTTTGCCTCGATTCAGAAGGACATGTTGCTGGTGTTCGAGGAGGAGACGCTGGACCCTCTCTGCGACGACAGCTCGTTGGCGCTTCCCCTTATCCTGGACGCGATTGTTCTTTCGGTGGCCAGCCTCAAGGCCAGCAGCTTGTGCTGGGCGTGGGTCCTGAACTAAATAAATCTCCAGGAAGAGGGTGGGGCCTTGGGGCCTTGGCCTCGAAGTGATGTCCATTCCCGGGCCCTTGGGTGTCTTGGTTCTGACTATGTCTAAAACATAAGCCCGCCAAGACTTCCATTCCAAGCCCTTGGATGTCTCTGTTCTGATCTTGTCTAAACCCCGTCCTCGAGCCCTTGGGACTGACTGACTGGTGTGGGTGACTGGTGGGGGGTACGAGTCGCTAGTAGTGCGCTTGCTTCCTAGTCGATGTGATATTGTTTTGTTGACCCGGGCGGGCGGCGCCGGCGAGAAGGGAGCTACAATTTAATAGAACTCCTTTCGATGCGTTTCGCTCTCCTCCTCGCTCATCCTTGTATGCGCGTGCGCGCCTTGTGTGCGAGCTGTGTGCACCGCTGTGCCGGCGGTCCGCCTGCCTGCCTGCTGTGCATGTTTCCACGTTTCCGCCCGAGATGTTTTTGTTTGTTGTTGGCCGAGAGTGCGGAGGGGAGAAAGAAGAGTGTTCTTCAGGGAATAAATAGTGTACCCTCTCCGCCTCCTGCGACAGATGTTCCGTGAGCGTCCGCGACGAGTATTCGTGAGCATGCGCGACACGCGCATGCTGTAGTGGTGTGTTATCGCTCCAGGATTTGATATCTTTATTTTTTATATTGGTGGGGACTGTTGTGCTTTCTTTACGAGGTTTTTCGGTGCGGGGCAGAGTACGGAGCATGTGGAACGAATGTCAAGAACAAAACAACTGATGCTTGTTTTACTTTACGCGAACGAGGTTGGATGCACCGCAGCAGATCTCCGTGGGGAGGCCGTCGGCCACTTTATGATGGTGGCCCTGAGCGACAGACAATTGGTTGCATTTCTAGACATTTTTTTGCTGAAGGAATGGCTACCACAATTTTAGAGGGGCCCAGTGGCATGATTAACTTCTTCTGCACTTGTTGGTTGGGGGAGGCTATGGCGTATTCATGACGTTCCTGTTTGATGGGATAGGGAGCTTCGATGATTTGTGAGAGGTGTAAAGTAGAGGTTGTGCTTCGAGCGGCCGGCGAGGCAGCGATGGCACCAATCCACAACGCCCCCTGCGGCAGAGATTCAGTCATGTGGGCACCCGTCGGTCGGGGTATGTAAGGACTGTGCGCGCGGCGGCGGCGCGCGCGGGGGGGGGGGGGAAGGGGGGCCCGTGGTTTGAGTATTCCGTTCAAAAACTTTTTCTGT